TGTCTCATTTTATACTCCAGCATTAAAAACCATCATTTACACTGATTACTATCAATACTTCTCACTTATTTTCTGATTATGTTGATCATGCTTATTCTGTAGGTAAAACTCATTGATTTTGGTCTGTTATTTTTGCTAATTCTTATTTGAGAAGCCACAAGTAATTTTTTGGGTTATGTTTTATGTGTCAAGGTCTATTACCGTCAATGCATTCTTTGGGCCCATTCCTAAGGAGCTTGGAAATCTTAAGGAGCTAACTTATCTGTAAGACTTGAAGAAATTCTACTTTGTCGTCATAATGCATCAATATTTTTTATTTCTTTTTCATCTGCCATTGTAATGCATCGAATGGTTCTTTTCTACCACATACATTTAGCCTCTAAGTTACATCGTGCATAAGTTTGGTTCTTGGTTATTACGAAGGTGCCTTTCTTGTAAAATGAAATATCAATTCAATATTATGTTGAGAGGATTTGAAAGTCTGAAGAGAATTTGTTTCAGAGGGGTGATGGTGGAACAGGAAGGGGAGACAGCCACAACTCTATTATGTAAAGTTAATTGTTGGTATTGCAGTGCTTACTAGTTTATGTAACATCTTTTTTTTTTTCTTTTTTTTTTTTTGGTATTAACCCCCCTATCCAGAAACCACATTGGGTACTGACTAATCCAGAGTCGAGCCGGATTGGAACCCATATGGGGGGAAAACTCACCTAGCGCTTGTTTTTTCCATTGACAAGGCTCAAACTAGAGATCTTGCTTAAGGGGAATCGAGCTCCTTTCACTCGGACCAATAGGTCATTGGTTCATATAACATCCTTTCACAATAATAACTATACTTCTGAATTCTGATATACATTGAATTGATGAATTCCAGAAGGGATGATAAATAACTTCAGGTATTCAAAATGGGTATCAGTTTCAACTACCTTTGATAGAAATGCGGGGGATTGTAGATAATTTGAGTGATTTGGGTCTTTTTATGATTTTAATATAATCTTCCTATAAATGGTTTCCAAGAGGTCCTGAGGTACTCATACTGTTTTATGTCTGATGTGAAGTAGTGATGCAATATGGTAGTCAAGTCACTAGAAGATTTATGGCACTGATTGAGACAGAATCTGTGTGGCTCTTCTGAAAAGCTTGGGACATTTTATGTTGATTAAATTTCACTTGAAACCCTCACAACATTCCTCCTTTTGAGAGTTGAGAGACTAGCAAATCTCTCGAAAGATATTTTTTAATCTTCACTTAATTTTGATATTGAGAACTGCAATCCCTGTGATAGGTTTAAATATAACCCCATGTCAATTTTAATGGTTTCTCTTTCTCCATAAAAATATTTTATTTGAATTCTTTCATGCAGAACCGTTAGTTTTAATAATTTCTCTGGAACGCTCCCACCAGAACTTGGTAATCTCATCAACCTCGAACAACTGTGAGTTAAAACTTTCTTCTAGTTCTTTGTAGCTCAATAAGTTTGTGCCCGTAAGAAGCATATTATATTAACGGAGACTAAACAGTTTTGGTTTATGAATGTACAGTTACTTTGACAGCAGTGGAGTTGGTGGTGAAATTCCCTTAACATTTGCTAACCTTCTAAACATGAAAACAATGTAAGAAAGTCCCTGGGATCATGAGCTGTATTTATTCGTCTGCTTATGTTTCTGGAGTATCTCAAAATTGTCTTCTCTTACCCTGTCATTTAATAGAGAGCTTTTT